TGATATATATTCTATTCAAGTCCATTCACTCCTAATAGGAATAAAGTCAGAAATTCTAACTATTTAAACTATTGTACTACTGTCTTGAAAAGACCATTTTGACCTTGGAAATATTATTGGAACAAATGTCTGTAACCAGACCCCACTTTTTTTCTCATTTTGGTTCTATCTTTGTGTTTCACAGGAAGTAATCAAAAAGGTACCATCATCTGGCATGCATCAAAAAGTTTCAGTCACTGAGGCTAAAACAAACATGCCAGATAAACAGGTAAAGCCCAGCTTCACCAATATTACTGGAAATGATGACACTTGCAAGCTAAGTGCCCAAACACAGAGAAGAAGTAGTTTGCCTACCAACACTGCAACATCAAAGGGACTCTTTATAGACCTTACCAAAAATGTAATGTTTGATCATTCTGGTGCTACTACGTTTAATTCTGTCATGAAACATTTCCCTGAAAGATTGTTGTCATGTGATGGTAGCTGGAATTACTTGGATAATGATGTTGACAGGACAGACCACAAAAGCCTAGGGTTGCAGACCATAATAACAACCAATCTAGAACTTTCCCCATTTCTACACCTAAAGGAAACAGATATTCTCCAAGATGCAGAACCATGCAGTGAAGAGGAACTAAGAACAGATCCTGGTAAGAAAGACAACACTTCCAAAAGTAACTTGTCAGATAATTCAAGCATCTATGCAAAATCGCATGTTCACACATCTCTTCAATCTGATACAAAAGAACCATTTGTATCAAAGGACATTTGTGAAAAAGAAAATAAGGAGGTTAGTGATGAACCCCAGAAACTTGACTTAGCAGAAAGAATCAAGGGAAGTTTGGAAAGACTCTCGACTTGTCTGAATGAACATCACAACACACTGGAACGTTTTTATCAAGATGATGTAGACACATGGGGAAGTCATTTGGGTGGCTTGGATCAGGTTGAACCATGGGAGGACTTATTTTCCGCCAAGCAGTGGGTAACCAGCCCTCTGCACTCACCAAAACTTGAGGATCACTTACCTACGCCAAGAGAGACCATGCCATGTCAAGCAATTCACAGCCAAGTTCTTGACAATCCAAAAGTGGATGACTTCCCCAACAGCAAGAAGGCTGAAGCTAAAGAACCAGCTGTGCTTAATGACATTACATCATCTCAAACAGAGGCTGCTGTGACAGCCGCCTGTGAACTTGGAAACTCTGACTTCCCAAAAGGAAACAAAAATGCAGGCACAGATGTAGCTTGTTTTGCACAGATAACAGAGCATTTTGACAGTGATAACCTCAAGTGGATGGGAGACAAAGACAGCAGAAAACTGGAGATTCCACAGGTTAAGATATTGAAGACATTCACCGATCCAGATGAGACTACTGGACTGCAAAACATGAGCAAAGCAAAACAGAAACGCTCTTCTCCATCTCAGAGGTTTCATCGACAAACATCCAATGAGTCCTGCATTGTGGAGAGAAGTCATGAAACCATTAAATCCAAACTCAGGCCATGCTCCCTTAACCTTGATTTAGGACACCAAGGCATCAGAGACATTTCAAATAGTCAGTATCTGAAAAGTGCAAAACATTCAAATGCACAGGAATGGTTGACACCTGAAGCCAAGCATGGTAGCTCATCTCTAGAGTTGGAGCTATTCCTCAGTGGCTCCAAGGCCCCTGTGCGACGCAACTCGGCACCAGTTAGTGTGTCATCAGTTCGTACTGCATTCATGATCAAAACTTGCAAAGCTAAAGCTGTTCCTGTTATTCCACCAAAAATTCAGTATAGCCACATACCTCATGCTCTACCTGAGGGGAGCACTGATCAAGTCAATAAAAGTACATCTGAAAAGAAACCTACTAAGAGCAAGTTGGGAAACGCAGGTTCTGCACTTCCCCTCCAGACAGTCCACAGGGAGGATGTGCCAAGCAGTGAACCACCATCAGCGGTCCAAAGACAGATTCCTATGAGCAATGCAACATGCAATGAGAATTACAAACCAACCTCCATTCCAGACCTTCCAGTGTTGAGAAGGAAGCGATCTGCAAATGGGGACACATTTATGGATCGTCCTAGACCTGAGCGCTCATCGCTTATTCAGAGATCATCCTTCAGAAATCGTCCAAGACCTCAAAGTCTCATCCTGTTCAGCCCTCCATTTCCAATCATGGACTACCCTCCAGTAGGGGATGATGGTAAACTAGTCCTATCTCCTATTAAAGCCGAAGCATCACCATTTCACGTCTATTCAAATGAACTAGCGGAAAACCTCAAAACTACTGAGGGGGTAACCTTGCGTAATAAAATGACTTTGCCAAAGAGTGGACAAAGGCTTGAGACCTCAACCAGTTGCTTTTACCAGCCACAAAGGAGGTCAGTGATTTTCGACAACAGAAGTAACAGGCAAATTGAATGAGATAAGACTGATCCATTACTGGCCATCATGCAATAACTAGCAAACCTCTTGCTTATTAATTGTGACCAAGTGTCAGTATACCTAGAAACACACAATGATGCTTGGAAATCAAGGTGCCGTTAATCCTGATAATACAGATCTGTAAGTATTACGCTTTGTGTAAAATGCTGCTGCTAAGGATTTATATCAGAGATTTTTTCTATATTTGCAAGGAAAACTGAAACATGCCTTAGGATAAACCTGGGAAACTCAGCAGGCTCCTACTGTCTATGTAAATACAGACTGTCACTGTACAAGCATGTCTCCGTTTAAATTGACTTCATTCCCTTCATGTGGAACTCAAGGTCTTAGTGTCTGTTATTACTTTATCATGATCGGAAATATTTTGTTTACAATTGGAGTCATTTATAAATTATATACAAATCCGCATGATAAGAAGAAAAAAAAAAGCAGTTTAAAAAAAACAAAAAACAACATTTTTTATTTATTCCATATTGTCTTGTTTTGTCATTGTCATACAAATCTGTACTTCTGTAAATCCATAAAGAGTAAAAATCAATTTGTACAAATGTTTAGAGTAAATGTCCAGTGGTTTGAAGATAGTTTAAAGGTCAATGTTCTTGAATAATTCAAATATTGTTTCAAGCTGTGTTCTCTCTTTTGTAGATACATTTTTATATATTTTATATCTGATTAAATCAAATCAAATCTCCTGATTACTTGGTTAACAGAAATGTATGAAAAAAAGATACTGAGGTTTCAAAAAATAAGAATATAAAACAACGTCCATGTTTTATATAAACCGTAAAGCAGAGAAGTTTTGACAATGTATTCTGGCAGAAGACAAGGATGAAAGATCATGATGATGACGTTGTCAGTTGTGTAATCAGACAACACTAACCTTGTAAAATGCTCTTTTTGTATTCAATAAAATTGGATTTATTGTATGTATACTATTCTAAACAAAATAATAAAAGTATTTCACATGTAATGTGCACACTGTGACACACTTAAGCATTTCAAATGACAAATGAAGTTATTTCAGTATAGAATTGTTTAAAATTCTAATGTCATTTATAATGCATAATCCTATTTGCTTAATTTTCTGTAATAAAGGTAAGATATAAATAAAGTAGTTCCTACATATACAGGGTAAGTTGTGCCACTTACAGTTGTCTAGTAGTCAAATATAAATCATAAAAAATAGAAGCAATCATCTATAATATAGGGTCACAGAAATGTATAATTATATAAAATGTATATAATATAACTAGTACATAAGTAAAGTGGTCCAGGGACCCAACTTGCCTCATGTTGTAGCTGTGTCATGTCAAGGGTAAGTTGAGTCACTGGGGAATATAGAACAATTTACATTTGAAATTAAACAGTGGGCATACTGTCTATAAGAATAAGAATCATGTTCATGTTATGTTGCAGAACAATATTCATATTTCCATAAACTAGCTAGGAAATACTTTAATATTCATAATATTTATAGTGAAACAATTTTCAACATTTTAAGAGTATTTGCTGTAGTTATAGCATTTCCCATAGAAGCTCAATTATTACTAGATAAGCCACTGACACACTTTTACCCCAAAGCTAAAAGAACAAAAATTATATATACCCTGAATATGTCATAAGTCAAACTGAATAAGTGTCTGACTTTCTATGATCATGTGATAGTCTTAGTTTTCTCATTGACATATCTCATTACACACAAATGGGAGTTTATATATATATATATATATATACATATATATATATATATATATATATATAAAACAACAATAAATGCAATAAATGCAAATAGACAATGTAACTGTGAAGACATTTTGAACTTATTTTTTATTTATAAATGAAATGACTGCATGTGATACACCGGTCTTGAAACACCAGATGTTGCACTAGAGTAAATATACAGTAGATAACTATAGAAATACACTGTAATAAGACCCTACTATAAACAAACACGTCCTTTACTTGCGCAGCCAAAATCCACCATTGAAATTCAAGTACAGCGCAAAAGCCAGCTACATTTGTCTAGCTAGCATTTTATTGATTTATTTATTTTGGAGAAGACTTGCATAATGGCTTATACATTCATGTCTTATGTCTTATACAGAAGTTGTTTTATCTTATAAAACATAGTTAATTCATAAAACAGTAACGATCTGAGAATTATAATTCTCAGATTCTGTGTCTCCAAAATCCAGAGAAAGCCTGTCAGTAATTCCTCTGTTAAATGTTTTTAAAATGTTTTTTTTTTTTTTTTTCACATTTAATAGCTCTAACTTGCCACTTGAGTGCGTTCATTGAGATATTTAGGTCAAAGACACTCACGAACTACATTATTAAGATTTTAGCGCTGTTTGACTGAAAATGAATGCTAATACCGTCTAAAAATTGTGGCAAAACAAGGTAAGTTTGGAGGAAAAAAAATCTGAAAAATCTGAAGACAGTTGCTTGGAAACAACAATGCAGAGTCACGGAATGACCTGCAGCAACCAATACACCTTATTTAAAGAAATATATAAATAAAAGAATAAACTTGGATTCAATTTGTTGCAAAGCCCTTGTTACTTTGCTTTAGAATTCATTATGATTTCACAAATGTGTTGCTTGACTCATCACGGATTTTGATCTTCATTTGAACCTGCAAAAGTTTTTGTAAAATCAACTGTGATTAGGATGTTTTACAGCTATTCAAAAATGTCACTTCTTATTATTAAACATAATTTATTAAAAAAAAATAAACCTGTTTATAGGGCCAGGTAAAACAGTATGCAATATATTTCACAAGCTCTTTCTCTTAAATCAGAAAGTGTATTGATCACCAATAGTTCAGGTCGTAGCCTATATGCCTCTCCAATATACTTTCAGCAAGAATTATTCATGAAAAACCCACAATTTCCCATAAAGTCAGTCAAGATTTTGGATATATAAAATAATCTATATAATGACAATGTGTTGGAAAGTACACAAAAATCAGATTAAAAATACCTGTTCTAACATGAACTGAAGTGGATCGTCTGGTCTATCAAAAACCAGTTTCTCTGTGATGTCCTGAAATAGCACAAATGAGACTATGAGTGAAAAATACAATGAAGAATCATTTTTTTTTGTCCTGGATGTCTCAAGCACCAAAATGTTACTTTTGCTGCTAAAATGACATTGTTAGTCAGAGCTTTTTTTTTGTTTGTTTTTGTAATACTCATAAAACAATATGTAGTTTTATTAAATAAACCGGAATAATGCAATATTAGCATACTAACCCTTTTTTTAACTTCTATTAGTGCTCTGAATTGTCCTTCGCCATTTTGTGCCAAGCAATTCATCACTGTCTCCCATTTTCTTCGTAAGAAAATATATCAGTAACTGCTGCTTTGTTCTTTCTCACCTGAAAAATCTGAAGAATACTGTGAGTCTCCATATAGTTAACAGAGCGTTCATAAGGGTCCGTGAACACTGAGGTAGTACGAATGGTCTCCGCACTCTCGGTGATAAGTGCTTTTTCTGATAGACCAGAATCTGCCATCTCCCAAAGTTTTTGAAAGTTTATACTGTTGTAGTATAGCCTACAAAAAAAAAAAAAAAAAAACGATATACACAAAAGGTAAGTAGCGAAGTGTACTTTCTCGCAGTATTATTACTCAAATAGCCTAGTTAGCGTTCGCTCTTTAAGAAAGGATTTCAAGTGCATTACATCTGCTCAAAATAAATACCAAACTTTGTCTTTAGTCCGTTTTGTGTTAATACAGAAATTGGACCGCGTATCCCGAACACATCTAGAGCAGGACTGTTTGAAATGTCACCCTGTAACCCCTAGCAACTGTATACAAAAGGCGGGGATGATGTCATTGGGCACAGTTCCCCGGGACAGCGCCTTTGATAAAATCGTGAGGGGTCTCAAAAAGGTTTGTTGAAAAAGACGAAAACTCCGTTCGCATGGTTGAAACGCCTCTTCTGCAGTTAATGCCATTTTTAGTATCTGTTTTTGGAAAAAATAATACCTCAGAAGACCCCGGACTAACGTTTACAATAGGACTGACAAAGGGAAGGAGGGGCCAAACCGCCGTTTCTAGGTTGCAAGTCGTCCTCAGCTGACACCTCGGCCTACAATGGGTGCATTTTATGTAGGGCAGACGGTGTGCGTGTCCCCCGGTGAACCTCTCGGTTAAACGTTGCTGTTCATGTTTATAACCGAAAGGGGGAACTCAATATCAAGAAAAGCGTGCAGCCAAACCGGAAATCTCATACTAAGAGGAATGATATTATGGAGGCGAGGGATTGTTACGTGACGAAATATTTACGAGAGCCAAGGTCGAACAGCTTTTAACAAAATAATATATAGAATATATACGCAAGAAATGGCTTATTGTTTGTAAATGTGTCTCTTTGAACTTTTGACATCACGAAATCTGAGTGGGACATCCTAAATTATAATTACATCGCTGCCAATATCCGGACACGATATTCAAGATTCACTGTTCACTGCTATCATAACACGATCAATCGTTTGAAGGATTGTATTTTTCACACACACACACACACACACACACACACATATATATATATATATATATATCGAAGGTTGATTATTCCTCGTCTAGACTACAGACGACCGCGCGCACACACCTGTCATTGTCTAGACTGGGGGGAGTCGGGGGAGGGGCTGCTCAGTGTAGCTGGGGACTCGTGAGCCACTATTGCATTATTTTGTGTCAGTCACAACGGCTCTGTGAACGTATTGGTGAAGAAAAAAGTTCGGTGTCACTTTTCACGATCTGATTGGCCAGCAATACCGTCAGCAACTCTCCTTACGTTTCCTTGAGGTCAGCTAGGGACGTTAAAAAATAAATAAATGAGAAAATAGAAATGCGTAGAAAGTAAAAGGCACGGTGAACAATCTAGCTTGTTGGTCTTCCAACTGACAGGCAGCGTCATCGTCCAATGTGGGACCAGATATGAGTTTGAGAAATTTATTGACATCGTCCCTAACCAATCTAAAGTAGGCTATCTATAACTGATTAACATGCATGATTCTCGGATGACTGGCCTTTTGATCGAGGATGGGACATAGATTTCAAGGAGTTTAATTCGCGCTCATAACACCAAATAACATCAATGTCATTGCAATGTATGCATTTGTTTATGCTCAAGAAGCAGCGCGTACAAGCAGAAACTCCTCAAAAGGGCACCACAACAAGCGCATCGAAATACTCGACGGAAAACGGTGCACTTGTACAGTGACCGATAATTAAGAAACTGAGGATGCACAGTGCCCATGCTGGTTCAAACACAACAATTGCGATAAGGCAGAATAGTTTCACTTTCAGAGCCACAATGGAGCCAGTTTCAACGTTCCTCGCCGCGCGGAAGGAAGGGCGTGCGGCTCACCGATTGGGGTAAAGTCATGTTGAACGATTTATATCACAACCTACGTGCTTCAAGAAAGTCCATTCTGTTCCAATCGCCAGTAGAAAGGCGTGGCTGCCCAAAATCTTCGACGAATAGTGAAAAAATGGGAGGGCACGAGTGAGCTGCGTGATGTCCTCTCCGAAGGTAGGCTGCAGCGTGTGTTTATTGATGAGATGAAAGAAGATGGAAGTGAGAAATGAAACAAAGTAAGGGACAATATTAAAAAACTCAGTCCTTGCCTGGGGAAAAACGGGGAAGCTGTGAAGCGCTGTAGCCACTGGAGAAGAAACACTTAAAGAAGCAGGTAAGAAATAGGGAGAGGGAAGGGAGGGGGAGGGTACTTATACTATTTATGTTAGGCTATTTATAAGAGTAATAGAAGTCATTCCCTTGATATGAGGTGAAAAAAAAACTTAAGCATGAAGCATATACTAATAGCTCAAATACAAGACTTTAGTCCTTGTTCATCAATATCTTATACATAAACCAGCTTTGAAGAAGATACAGAAAACTTGTAAAATTACATTTAGTTGTAAAATAATTGCCACTCCGGATTATAGGATCTGTAGGCTGAGTTCTCTCAGAACAGCCAATGTTTGTCTGATATTAAACAAAAAAGACTCGTGGTTGCCCGAAGTGACGTCTCAGGTAAAATGACCATATAATTCCTTGCTTGATCACTGATCTTCTTGTAGTTTAACAGTTGGCAGGCTATGAAGACTTTGTCGGTAGTTTTTATAAGTTGTATTATTTTTATTTTGCGAAGTGTTAGACGTTACAGTGAACCATGACACGAAAAGCACAATACGACTCAACAGAGCCGCTAGGGACTTCCGTACGACCAACATATTTGATAGAATAACACCTCTCTAACTGTGTGTTAAGTGTCAAGTATCAGCGATTAAAGACCGTCAGGACTACGATACAAAATGCGCTGTTCAGCTAGAGGAATAGACGAGATAGAAATTATGATTTAAACATTTCAGCCGCTTATCTGGAATCCCAGTATTTTCCGGGCTATTGCTAATATTTTATTGACCCCGGTAGATTTGCGCGCAAGCCTCCGGTATCGGGATATCGGAGACAAACATAATTGTTTTGTATGTTGTTGTTTTCTATAGACGTTCTTAGAAGCTCGGACAAATTCTATAGAAACTATGGAGTTTTGTAGGGAGTGTATCGGGCGCTTTAACATGTCCGTTATTTGTCATCATTAAATTAGGATACGCAACCCTAACCAAGTGACCGGAATTTTAGCCCTCGCTCCAAGTATGTAAAGAAAAAGAAATGTAGTTTTAGTTACAAAAGATAAATGGCCATCTGTTCCGTATTCTAATGCCTGTACCTACTGAATGACCTCTTTTTGACTCCGTGTTGTGAAGTGCCAGCTTGTTGCCTATAACGCACGCGTTTGTAGGCTAAGCAAACAATAAATCACTCGGCCATTTTAACACAAAAAAACTTCATATGGCAAAACTAGAGCGGCTCGTCTTCAGGTTTTGGAGGTAACGGGGCCTTCAAGCAGCGGTCCGATCACAGCGCTGATAGTATTGTCATCTCTTATGTAGTGTAGGATACGAGACGGTGGGTATGGGAACCATGGCATTGGCCCGTTGTGGAAAAAAACACCCCAGACACATTTTTCATTAATTTATCGTATGCTCTCTGTTTCCCGACGCTGTATTATAAAATGTCTGCCTTATATAATCTGTTTATTTATAGCAAATGATATGAAAAGGTTGTCATTTTTGTGGGGAGATTCTATTCGATGCTGGCTACTTTGATTTTTGGAATGTTTTATCTGAACGAATGAGCTGAAAGAAGGAAACCTTGTTATTTTACCATATAAACAAAATGCTTTGGCATCTTGTTTAGCAATGTGTATGTTTGTTAGCACCTTTTCTTTTCTTCCTCCTTTTTTTTTTTTTTTGCTGAGCGCCAGTCTGTCAGACGGTTGGTAGTGCGGCCTTGGAAGTTTGACTGTACCCCTTTACTTATTGATAAGACACACAAATTATATTTTAACGGTCAAATATTACTTCATTAAACGTTAAGGATTTTTTAAAAGTGAAGTGCTGGCGTATATGGAATACAAGCGAATTGTTATTAAATAAATCATGACCTCTGTTCTGTTAACCATGTGTGCTGCTCTGCGTTAATGTATTTGTTGCTAGCTTTGCTGTTAGCCAGTCGTCTTCTAGACCTGTGGATGTCTGAATAACCACTTTTTGCCCAATTACTCCAATATATGTCAAATGTCAGTTTTACGTTGAAAACTTGAATCTCTCCCTGTGTATTTCTTTGTGTTTCAGACAGTTTTTACGCCTTTATAAGAGAGTGATGTAGCTAGGCATGCATTAGGTAACGTAAGGCAGTCTACTATAAATCGTCATAAAATATTATAGCATTCTCAAGTCATTTTTTAACTTAAAATATTATTACAAATATATAGGCTATGCCAGAAACAATATTTTCTGTGTTTTTATTTTTATTTTTTTTTCACTGCACTTTTTTTTTTAATCTGATACCGGCCTCCTTTCATAGAACTGTTTTGTAAAATTCTTCGCGAGTCTGCATGGAGGGTAACGTCGAGTAAGTTAACTCTTTCTATATTTATAGCAAATTAGGTTTTAATTTTAGTCAGCACATTTAAGTCAAATACAAGTTAGTAGGCTATATTAGTCTGTGAATCAAGCTTTTCCCCCAAACGTAGTACAAGACTGCTCCGCATACATTTGAACACGTTGTTCTTATTCTTATGCACCTGTTTAATTCAGTTGGAATCTGTTTTTAGTCGCGTACTGTATGTGTATCAATTAAAAACGTGTGTAGTTTTATGGCTGATTTGGACAGTAGATAGGATAGGGAGGAGGGCCTTGGCTGCGTGAAGGGTGTTTTGTCTGTCAGCTTTACCGACTTTAAAGTTGCTTTATGTGTGAACAAGACCTTGAGAAGTATGTTTTATGTTAGTTTAGGGCTGTGTATACCAAAACCGAAAATAAGCTTTTTAGTTATACTTGAATGTATTGCAAATACAAATACATATTTTGGAAGTCACAACAGTCTCACTATATCCATATGTTTATGGATTGAATTGGTTTTCACGTGTTATAATAAACTATAGTTTAGCTACTAAACGAGATTTTTCTTACTACTTTTCAGTAATGAAATGTAGCTCATAGCTCTAGCTATGTCAGTTATGTGATGCTTGGAAATATGTGACAATTTTGTCTGTAAAGACGATAAACGTTTAAGACGTTATGTACCTAGACGAACCAGTGAGAGTTGTACATTCTTGAGTGGCTTTATGTTTCTTGAAGTTTTGAGGTACTACAATAAGGTATTGTTAGTAAGTGA